GCTTATCCATTTATAGGCTGCAATTCTTGACCTTATGCTTTTGTTTTTGCTGTTTATTCCATTGGTAATGTCCTATTATTCATCCATTCTAATTTCACCCTCATAGCAGGATGATAAAATCTTACCTTCCTTTCAAGTCCAACCCAAAAGCTCAGTTCAAAGGTTACCACTTTTATTAAACTTTCCCAGATTCTACCCCTCGCTCCTTCTCCACCCACCTCGCCACATTCACAAGCTCTCTCTCTTTTCCACTTTCATAGGACTTTATCTGTATCTCTTATATGGCATTTAGCACTGGGAAATTTCTTCATTATTAATAATAAAGTACATATGTTGCCTGCTTTACTGGCCTCTCCACTCTTTGAGAGAAACTCCACGTAGGTTATAGCATATACCCCCCAAACACACACACACACACACACACACACAGCATCATGCTTTTAACTGCCTGGACGTTCAGTAAATATTTGTGGTACAATTGTATTAATTGTGGCAGGTTTATATAAAAAAGTTGAGAGGAATTTTGTTTGAATGCTATAGATGAGCTGATACATGAAATTTAGTGGTAATCCCTTTTTTACATCAATATGATTTTATTATCAGCTACAACTTAGCAAATGCCTATTGTTACATATGAACATTATTTTTAATCCTCACAACAACTAACTAATGACCTATTATTACCCTCTACTTTCCAGATGAGGAAAATGAGTCTCAGAGAATTTAAGTAATTTGGCCAGGATCACACATCTGGTAAAGAGCAGAGCTATGAATTGAATCTTAGGCTTGCCCTACTTCAAAGCTTGCTTTCTTTCCATTAGCATATTTTTTCGAAGCACTTTCACAACTATTATCTCATTTGTACCACCCAACAAAAATGTAAAGTTGGCAGGGTTGGGTATCTGCCCTCCTCAACACCCCATTCACTGCTGCATCTCTCATCAGTACACTCCAATGTTCCTCTCCAGTCCTACTGAGGGTCTATCACCATCCCTTTAGCTGTCTATAACTCTATATAGACCATACTACCCCCATTGCCTGATTAAGACCTTTACAGGTAAGCCTAAGCACTAAGAAGTAGTCTTCTATCATGTGATTTTTAATATGCTAAACCATGAAGTTAATTTTTAATTTAAATTCAACTTAATTAACATATAGTGTATTATTAGTTTCAGAGGTAGAATTTAGTGATTCATCAGTTGCATTTAACACTCAGTGCTCATTACATCAAGTGCCCTCTTTAATGCCCATCACCCTGTTACCTCATCTCCCTACCCACCTCCCCTCCAGCAATCCTCAGTTTGTGTCCTATAGTTAAGAGTCTCTTATGGTTTGCCTCCCTCTCTGTTTTTATCTTATTTTATTTTTCCTTCCTTTCCCCTATGTTCATCTGTTTTGTTTCTTAAATTCCACATATGACTGAAATCATATGGTATTTGTCTTTCTCTGACTGACATTTCAATTAGCATAATACCCTCTAGTTCCAGCCACATCACTGCAAGTGGCAATATTTCATTCCTTTTGATGCCTGAGTAATATTCCATTGTGTATACCCCATCTTCTTATCTTCTTTATCCATTCATCTGTTGATGGACATCTGGGCTCTTTCCATATTTTGGCTATTGTGGACATTGCTGCTATAAACACATAAAATTAAATTTTATCTTTATATGACCAAAATGAAGAAGAGCCTGGGTGGCTCAGTCAGATAAGCAGCTGACAATTGATTTTGGCTCAGGTCATGATCTCGGGGTCATGAGATCGAGCCCCACATTGAGCTCCATGCTCAGCAGGGAGTCTTCTTCTCTCCCTCTCCTTCTGCCCCTCCTCCCAATCGTGCACTCTCTCTCACTCAAATTAATTAATTAGCTAATTAATTAATTTAAAAAGAATAAATGACCAAACTGTACACATGCTCAGTTTTAAAGCTTCTTTCTAGACCTTCTGATATCTTTCCTTCTCCCTAACCCCACCATCCTTCCTCCACCCTCCTCTCCTCCCTCCTCTCTCTTTTGCCTTGCTGATGCTATCAGCTCTGACTTTGTCTGTTTTCTGGGTGAATCAGCATTGGCAAACCTCAGAGATAGGGATCCAGGAAGTAGAGGAGAGGGCCAGATAACAAGACATCCCCACAAGTTGGACTATAGCAAAGGCCCCATATTCCTTTGTTATGCCATGGTGGTGGTTCCCTCAGCCCTTAGCTAGCACATCATCAGGGTTCAATGAAGCCACAGCATTGAAATCGTTAAGCAAATCTGCTAACACTAGAAGGCATATTGGACCATTCATATAAGGAAATGAAATACAGAGCCACTTGAATGGTATAATCTGAAGGATGTTAAAATGGTGTCTCTGTCCCAGAACATCTTTCAAAACAGAAAGATCTTGAAGGGTTGAAGCCTTTCAGAATATCCTATGAAAATGAAAATGCCCCAAGAAAGTTTTTTTTAGAACCCTAGGAGGTAATATCTCAGTAGGGATTCATTTCTGAAAGTGACAGTGGATCAAAGGGAAAGGCCTCATAAGTATGCTTAGGACAAGAAATAGGATGGGAAGATGGTACATGTCATAAAGGAAGATAGGAAGATAAAAGGGTGACACATTTTTACTCCTTCAGAGTTGTACTAAGGTAGAACATGTTCCTAATACTCTACCAAGTGCTATGGTTCCCAGTCATATGAGTAAGAATTCTTGGAAAGCTTTGGAAAGGAATTTGGGAACTCCAGCTGTCCTAGTGCTATATAGTGTTGATGACAATGAAAACTTTCAATCTGTACTAAGCACATTATGGGTTAAAATCACAAAAGTGCTGCAAGCTGTAATGCAACCATAGAAATATCATGTTAAACAAAATAGACACCAGAGTAGGACTGTCCCCAAGGGGTAGCTGGGCATTGGGCCAGAGACCTGTCAGGTAACCTGTCTTGTTGACTATTTCCAGGGCAGAAAGAAGGAGGGGCAGGAGCCTGAGTTGCTTGAAGATGCAGTTCAGCCAGAATTGGGAAGGAAGACACTGACACAGACATGAAATGTTTTAGATTGTACATTTGCCCCCCCAAATTATGATTCTTAGTGCAGTGTACAAAGTAGAATTTCAAATTATTCAATCTTTCTTTTCTCCCTAAGCTAACAATCAGCATGTATAATTTATTAACATAACTGAGCATAACCATGCAGTCTTTCTATATCTGTTTAGTGAACACATTTATCTCATGCTTCCCTAAAAATTCATTTGCCCAGTTAACAAAAACTCATTTACTTAAAATGTGTTCCTAAGCATTGTAAAAACTCCATAAATCTCAGTGTTGTGAGTGTACAAAGGATTAAAGTGCAGGTGAAACAGAATTTCAATGTGATTACTTCCCTATTCTTACTTTGACTAATTCAGGATATTAAAACTACTTTAGTCATGCTGACAAAAGTCAGTGTAGTTCTTTTTTTCTACTCAAAAGAGAATAATTCTGTAAGTTTAGGCAGTTTGGAACTTGTACTTAAAGATATTGAATTTGGTCTTTGCTCTTTAGCAGGAGAGTGGGGATGAAGAGAAATGTCCCTATGTTTATCCACTGGGTAAATATGCCTGTGGACAAGACATTGTTCACTGCTTTAGTTCCTGAATTTTTTAAAAATCTGTCTTGGTTACTCCACAATCCCCTTGTTAAATCATCTCATCTTCCTGCTCAAGTGCCTCCAGTTCTGATTCTAAAGCATTATTTGGTAAACTAAATCATTCATAACTCAACCAGGAAGGAAAAAAAAAAGAAAGCTTCTGAGTGGTGAAAAATCTATGCCATAAAAGCCATGCACTGTATATTTCTTCATGTGAGAGCCCCTGCTCAGCCCCTACACAATTCTAGCAAGTTTACTTATCCAGTTTACTAATTCACAGATGATTAAAAATAATAAATTAAAATGAGTTTACATCTGCTACAGCTTATTATTATTATTATTATTATTAACCTTTATTACATGTTACTAGCTACTAAACACTGTGCTAAGCCTTTTACACGCATTATTTCACTAAATCTTTGCAACAACTCTATAAAGTTAAATATAATTAACAACATTTTACAGTTTCATAAACTGAGTTTTAGACTAAATTTTAGGATTAATTTTCAAATTTATCTATATTTAGTATGTACAAGCACACAGGTAACAGTGTGAAGGACTATGAGACAGCCTGATAGCAAAAGATTAGAAAAAATACAAAGAAAGAAATTACATGCAGTTGGAAAGCATAGCAATTTTGACGTTTTTAATTTGGGGACAGGCCACTTCAAACCTCTCAGTAGCTTTCAGAAGGCAATATGGTGTTACGGCACAGTAAAGGAGCTGGTTTGTGTAGTTATGACCCCCAAACCATTAAAAATAAATTATATTCAAAATCATTTACTTAAGAATGGAGAAAGAAGTGTAATGCAGGCTATAAATATTTAAATTTTTTTAATTGGTAATGTAAATCTCAACTGTGTGTTTTGGATTCTCAAAGGGAAAGCTTCATTAATCTGAAAAATTCACATAAATAGAACATATTATTCTCTGATGATGGTAGTATTTTTTATGTGCGGTATGTTTCCAAAGACTAAAACATTAAAAGGGAGGGAGAGAATATAACTTGACTTTTACTTCCCTTTTCAAAGCCTCTGAATTCTGGTTCAGTTAGTCCAGTCAATTTGCTGGAGTTTGAGCATATTCCATCACCAGGGTTTATCCATTATGCTGACTAATGTGGAACTATTTTTAAAGGAGACTTGGGAACACAACTGACTAGATATGTGACTTGAAGTTGCGAAAGACAATCTCCAACCCCACCCTAATAAAGAGAAAAAATAGCTGTCCCTTAGCTCTACCTAAAATGGCCACGTGGCCCAGGTTCAGGATGTGATTATAATTTGTCATGAGAAGAGAAGGTGAGATCTTGAGCGAGGTCATTTCTCAAGAGGCCAGCCCTTAGTGGGGTACCTGGGTTTGCTTAGTGCCCCTGAGTGGCTCAGGGAAGAATGAGAAGCCTGGGCAAAGATACTCAGAATAAGCCAGTGTCCCTGCAAGACTTACTACAGGTACCTTTCAACAAAGTTGGCCTCAGTCACAATCTTACCTACTATACCTTGCCTAGATCTATTCATGGTAAAGATCCCAAGAAAGCATTGCAGGAAGGGACTCTAGGGACTGAGTAGGTAGGATGGGGAAGGGGCTGAGGGACTGCAGGCTGCACTCTGAGTGAGAATTAAACAAATGGCCTAGTGTGGATGGAGTAAGAGGAGGTTACATGAGACAGACATAAAAAATAAAGTCCCAAATCACTGTGGTCATTCAGAAATGTTTGCAACTTTTTACAAGGGCAGTGGTATTACTCCTAATTTCCTAGCCAAATATTTATTAAATTAACCAAGGACTGAGTACATCAGGCTGCCTCACATCAGTGCAACATCTCACTTTCCCTGCAGCTCTAAACTGTAAGGTACTGTCAAAAAAAAAAAAAAAAACCCTCTTCCACACTCTAAATAGCTACGTTACAGAGGAAAGTTGGAATATCTTCTGGGAGTGGGTGTGTTTATTTGAGTTCAGTGTGTGCAGAAAAGGAAAGCCTCCACAGCCATTTATACATTTTCCTCCTCAACGATGGATACACAGACAGCTGAGCTCCTGGACTAAGTCTCTGAATGGTAATGTACATTTATAAAGATTATTTTCTTAACTATTTTGAGGCATTTTATAAATAATATGCATGTGTCCGCTGAGCATATATATATATTTAGTCAACTTTTGCTTATTTTCTCCTGAGGCTGATCTTGTGCAGTTACTTCTGTGGTATAATTTCTGAGGTGTCAGAAAGAGTTTCTACCTCAGCCGCCCAAAAATATCTCTTGGGCTGACCCACCACAGAGCCTAAAATCTCCACATTGCTCAAACATTTGATTTAGTCATTGAAAGCAGCTGTTAAAATCCATTTTACATTGGGATATTAAACAGACAGAAGAAATTAAAGACTATGTAAAACAGAAAAGAATATGGAGAAATTGCTTCTAATGGTGAGTTTCAAAAGAAGAAATCAAAATGACATACACAGTCTGGATCAGATGTTGTTCTTAAAATCTCATGGGGTCAGAACGAGCATATATGATTCAACTCATGAATATGAGCCTATAGTAAAGGAAACCCAGCATTGTTAGGCAGGTTTTGTTCTAATTTATTTTAAATGAGTGCTTTCCACTGTTTCTGATCCTCAGATCCCACTCTCTTTACAGTATAGCTCATATCTCCCTTGCTGAGCTCCAGAGCTTCCCAATGACCTGGTAATCAACCTTGGTGGGATCCAAATCCCTACCTCCTGGAAAAGTCACAGAGCCTGACATCTTTTATTTATTTTTATTTTTTTTTAAAGATTTTATTTATTTAATTGACAGAGAGAGAGAGACAGAGAGAGAGGGAACACAAGCAGGGGGAGTGGGAGAAGGAGAAGCAGGCTTCCCACCGAGCAAGCAGCCCGATGCAGGGCTCGATCCCAGGACCCTGGGACCATGACCTGAGCCGAAGGCAGTCGCTTAACCAACTGAGCCACCCAGGCGCCCCGAGCCTGACATCTTTTAGAAAGGAGCTTTTTGTAAATGGAGCTTTTAGAAAAACCACCCAATCTCTCTTGGTAGCAAACTGCCAAACCAAGCCCATTTCCTCAAAATACAGTAGAGGACTTAGCAGGCTTTGATATTGCTCTGAAATTGGAGAATAAAATTTTGCAGGCCCAACTGCAGTGGCTGATGGAAGAAAATTTTGCCCCACAGGCTCAGATCTCAGAGCTCCAGATGCCCCAAGCAGCCAAGGAGGCTGAACCACTCCAGAAGCCCTCAAAGTCCCAGGAACCCCAGAAACCCCTAGAAAACCTGGATCTCCCAGAAGCCTGGGAGTGCCAAGAATTCCCAGAAGTTGAGGATCCCCAAAATCTCAGAAAGCCCCAGGAGCTCCCAGCCTCGAAGACCCCAGCAGCCCAGGAGCACACGGAAATGAGACCTAGAAGCCCTTGTAACCCCCAGCAGACCCAGAGTCCCTGGAGCTTCCAGCAATCCATAAGCCACAGGCACCTTCACTGGTCTGTGAGCACTCAGCAGCCTGGAAATCTCAAAATCTTCCAGAGGTCAAGGAACTCCACAAGCCCCCCTTGGCATAGGAGGCCTACAAGCCCCCAGAAGTTAAGAAGGTCCAGGAGCTCCCAGATACCCAGGAGGTCCCAGTGACCCAGAAGACCCAAAATTCAGAGCACCAGGATCTCCCACATGCCCAGAAGACCCAGGAGGCAATAGAACGTCAGGAGACCCCAACATACCTGGAGCCCCTTAAGCTTCCAACTCTCCAGGAGTCTCTCGAAACTGGAGTGCCCCACCAGCCTCTGGATCCTTTAGATGCCCAGGAGTTCCTAGAGCCCTCAGCACCCCAGGAGTCCCTGGAGGGCCTAATAGCTGCTTTGACATCAGCAGCTTCAGAATTCCCATAGTCCCCCAGTGAGTTAGAAGGTGAAGCTTTCTCCCTAGAATACTGTTTAGCCTTCAGTGGAGATGCCCAGAAGCTTTCTGAATTCCTGGTTCAATTGAATAGTTACATGAAAGTCAGAGGGCACCTGTATCCCACTGAAGCAACCATAGTGAGCTTTGTTGGCAACTGCTCCTCAGGTGAGGCAGGAATGTGTTTTTAGCCCTTACTAGATACCCAAAATGCCCTCCTGGAGCAATTTGAAAGTTTCATAGAAGTGCTCCAGGATACTTTTGACAGTCCAGAAAACATGGAACATGCCAGTCACAGCATCCATCAGCTTTGCCAAGGGGAGGATCCTGTCCACCAGTATGTGACCCACTTCCATCTCTGCTCAAGAGCTAAACTGGAATGAAAGCATTCTCTACATCCAGTTTCAGGAAGGACTTGCCAGTTCTGTCCCAGATGATCTGTCTCACACAAGCCCAGCAGCCACCAACCTATCTGATCTGATCACTCAGTGCCTGGAACAGAAGCTAAGTGGTAAGCCTGATCCAAATCCACAAGGAGCAAGTCCCTCTGAGGAGAGAGCTGGGCCTGAGAGTTTACTAGCTGAAAACCAGCCTGTGCAGGCTGCAAGCAATAGCCTACATCTCAGTGAAGCTGAGCAGGCCCACTGCTGGGAAGGCCACTTGTGCCTCTACTATGGTCATCCTGGTCATTTTGCCAGAGACTGCTCTGTCATGACTCATTGTGCATAGCAGGTGGGAAACATCGAGGCCCAGCAGTAAGGGGGAACCCAGGCAGGCCAATCTACAAATATGGGTCCCCCTCACTTCCAACATCCATGTCTCATACCCTATGACTTACTGTTGAATTCCAACTGGGAAGACAACAGTTCTTGGAGCAAGCAATGGTGGATCCAGGCTCCTACAGAAACAGCATTGACCATTCTGTGGTTCTTCAAGAGAATCTGCCCATCCACAATAATATCTTCCCTCTGATGCTTGAAACGATAGATGGTCATCCACTGATTAATGGACCCATAACCAAGGAAACACCATCTGTGGAAGTTAAAATTGTAAACAACGTTGAAGAGCTCCAGTTTGACATTATTCATGCACCACAGTACCCTCTGATTCTTGGAATTCACTGGCTTAAAACACATGATCCAAACATTGAGTGGAGTCCCCTCACTGTGTCCTTTCCATCCCATTATTGTCACTACAATTGCTTCAGGCACAGGTGGAATAGAAGATGTCATGATGAAATAATTGCTGAATAGATCTTGTGTCCTCGTGACTGAGCTTAACAACCTGTTTTCTGTTACCTCAGCTGTCATCAGCATTTGCTGCTCAGAATCTTCCACTGATGGGGCACCTGGGTGGCACAGTCAGTTGAGGTTCCAACTCTTGGTTTCGGCTCAGGTCGTGATCTTGGAGTCTTGAGATAGAGCTCATGTTAGGCTTTGGGCTCAGTGAGAGTCTGCTTAAGGTCCTATCTCCTTCTGCTCCTCCCCCCTCCCTGTGCTCTCACTCTCTCTCTCAAATAAATATAAATAAATAAATAAATAAATAAATAAATAAATAAATAAATAAATATTTTTTTAAAGAAAGAATCTTCCACTGAATCTCTGGCAAGGAACTAAGGGTACTTGCATGATAACCCTGCCTCTCAGATTATGCAATAATCTCAGATCAGGCAATGAACCTGATGATTTTGAGTTGCTTTTTTTCACCAACTCTGCATGCCCCCACCTTGAACTCTGCCTTAATGTGGGGCTGTTTTAATTACAATTTATACTAATAAGATGCATGAGAATAGATATTAGGAACTAACGTTGAAAAAGTGTAGTTGAGGGGTGCCTGGGTGGCTCAGTCTGTTAAGCATCTGCCTTAGGCTCAGGTCATGATCTCAGGGCCCTGGGATTGAGCCCTGCATCAGGCTCCCTGCTCAGTGAGGAGTCTGCTTCTCCCTCTCCCTCTGCTCCTCCCCCTGCTTATATTCTCTCTCTCAAATAAATAAAATCTTTTTTTTAAAAGATTTATTTATTTATTTGAGAGAGAGAGAGAGAGTACATGAGAGGGGGGAGGGTCAGAGGGAGAAGCAGGCTCCCCACTGAGCAGGGAGCCTGATGCGGGACTCAATCCAGGGACTCCAGGATCATGACCTGAGCCGAAGGCAGTCGCTTAACCAACTGAGCCACCCAGGTGCCCTCAAATAAATAAAATATTTAAAAAAGAAAGAAAAAGTGTAGTTGTTAGGCTGACTTGAGTTTTTTATCAAGATTTTCTTTATCACAACAACTGCAACATTTTCTCAATAAAGAAAACAAATTTGCAAGTGATATTTTTAAAAAATCAATAAACATTGGCAATTTCTACTGATGTTTGAGTTATTTCATGGCTTAGCTGAGGGAAGAGGGAAGGGACAAGTAAATTGGGAGAGAAGAGATTGGAAAAGGTTTAAAGTTTGGGTGAGATCCTGAATATTCCAGGGGTAGCCAGGTCAGTGGGTGATGGGGTTGGGGGAAATGGAGAAAGTAGAGGAATGGTTGTGGTGGAGGGAAAAGGGTTTAGGAGGGAGGGTAGAGGGACGGTTGAGAAGAGGGTTTGGGGAAGATTGGGAAGAAATGTTGGAAAAGGTTCAGGTGAGGGCTAGGTGGTGCAGAGGGCAGGAATGAGAGGAGGATAAAATCCTACAAAAATAAAGGGAGCAGCAACAGAAATATTGAGCAACTTCAAAAGCAAACTTTTTGGACTTCATAAGTTAACCAAACAAAAGCACTGAAGAAGGTAATGAGAACCCTCAGTGACCCAACTTTCCCAGTAAAGTGACAAGGTCTAATTCCCTGCACCAGGGACATTTGTCCTAGGGCTCTGCCTGTTAATCTGTTCTTGGTGGTGCATAAGGATGGGGTAGCAGGAATCAACTTTCAACACATGCAGATCATTAGTAGCCAACTATACCTCTCCCACATACACAAGTTGCCCCACCCTGCTAGCCATGCTGTTTGTATGACACACAGAGAGAGCCAAGTCAGTGAAAGGAACTTCTGTCCTTATGGACCTGAAAGGGGGTAGTGTCCTGACTTAAATCACACATACATACACATTACCACAAACTACAGGGTGGGGAGATGGAAAGGTGGGATCTCCAGGTAAGATATGAAAAATGATCAAAGTAGATTCTAATGCTTTTCCTCTGTGTTTTCAACACTCTTTTTGGAGTCTCCTTCTGAAGCCACTTGAAGGAGATTTTGCCTCTTACTTAGACAAATAATCAAATATAAAGTCATAAACCTAGAAAGAGACAGATGAGGAACCTACCATTCATTGAGCACCTAATATGTTCCAGCTATAATACCAGGCTGTTATACACATTAACTTATGCCTCATAATAACCCAGTGTAGTAGGTATGTTTGCTCCTATTTTATCAATGAGCAAATAGAGTCCCAGGGAGGCCAGTTCACTTGCCCAAAGTCAAAAAATAAGTAAGTGATGGAGACCTGTTTGGTCTTTACAGCCTATGCCCTTTTTCCTACATCATGCCAATTTCCCTAATGCAGTGGTAAGGGCCAAATGAGATTGTGGTGGCAGAGAGCTAAGTGAGATAACCCTGAAAAGGGGATGGGGGACTCAGAATAAAAATTGAAGGAACCATATGGGAGATAGTTCTATTTCTCCAGTTCCCCTGATCTTACTCCCAAGCCCCTCTCCACCCCATTAGCCCCCAAACTTTCTATTTCATCTCCTGGAAAAATTCCTTTTGTTAAACTAATGCCACAGCCCCCTTTCACACAGCTAGCATAGATAATAAAATGTGTGATGGTAACAAATATATACCAAACTGAAATATTGTATGAGATGATAAAATTAACAGTAATAACTACCATTTAATAAGCATCTGGGTTTTGCCAGACATTGGACAAAGTGATTTGGGTATTATTAGCCCTTTTATGTAAATCAATGAAGTGAAACCCACTGAGGTGAGGTCACTTGCCAAAGGTCACACTGCTAAGAATTCGTAGATGCTAAAAACGAACCCTGATCTGTCTCATTTCAGAGCTGGAATTCTAGCCAATACACCACACTGCTTCTCAGGCTGAATAAACTTTACTCTTTATTAACCACTCTAACAATATTTATTCACTAGACATGAGTTATATTACTTTAGAAAAATATATTAAATTGTTAGTGCATTTATTTATTCATTTATTTAACAAGCATTTACTTAATGTCTTCAATGTGTCAGGCAAAGAATGGAGAAAGAGGAAGAGAGGTACAAAGATGTCTAATGTATGAATCATGGTTCTTACTCTGACCATAGTTAACAGGGGAAGTTGTTGTGCAACACAGCACTCCTGGTATACAGAGGAGAGCACTAATTTTGCTATGGACTAAAAAAGTGTGTTTTCAGCTGGGTCTCGAAGGAATCTCATTGGAAACAAAAGGGAAGGCATGGTTTTCTAGATTGAATAAAGTGCACACAAAAAAGCAAGTTGGAGGAAAAACTAATGGTGTCATTAGAAAAGATAGTTCTATTTCACTGGAGAGTAGCAATGTGTGTACATGTGGGTAGGGTGACTGGTGGGTGTTGGTGGGGAGATGAAACTTAAGAAGGAAATTGGAAGTTTCAGGTTAAAGACCTGTCTACCTGGATAAAGCATTTAAAATTTATCCTATGGGCAATTGGGACTGGAATCTTTGTTATTCTCCTGTGTTAGATTTGGGTGTGCTTTTTTTCTCTCTCTCTTGCTGCAAAGTAATGCACACTCATTGTAACAAATTCATATATATCAGAAGTTTATAACATAAAAGTAATATGCCCCTTATCTCACAAATTAGTTTTTTAAGTAGGAAAGAAACATGATTCATTTATATTTTAGAAATTTGATAGCAATGTAGAAAATAACAGAGAAAATGATAAAGTACCCCCATTATTTTTACCTTCTTAGATTTTATGAAGATAGGCTCAAATCATCAAAAGCAAAGAATTAAAAGTAAATTAAGCCCAATTTTCCTCAAATGTTTGAGTTCATAGTATGAGCAAGACATTGGCGTATGCATACATATACACAAGATGTCCCAAACATCAAAAAATTTACAATCTAATGGATAAGAGCTCATAAATTATAAGAAACTGCCTTTCCATTTGGACTTCTTTAGGTTCAAATTTTAAAGATTCTAACTGGAGAGGATTTTCAGAAATTATATATTCTGCAAGACTGGCGCAGAAACAGAGAAAACAGTTCCCTCTTTAGCTAACTTTCCTAAGTTTAAACTTTAATAGGAAAAGTAATCTCTATATATTTTGGTAACCTCCCTTCCTGGTTTGTTTCCTTAAAAAATATTTCATATTTCATGCTATCAAAGTACACCTGAAGTAGTCATGGTCATTCCATGGAGGGATTTATGTCCTCAAAATATCTGTATATTTCTCAAAGTATGTTTTTATATATTTCTAAAAGTATATCCTTAAAGAACCTGTATACTTCCAAAAGTATGATTTTAAAAGTTTTGTAGGGTTAGATGATTTTAAAAATTCCTACTGTAATAAAATTTGATATCTAGCATATTGCTAAATACCAAATATTAAATGACAAGGGTAATATAGGGGTCAGAAAATTAGGGGTGAGGATATTAGGATTAAACTCCTGAGTTTGTTGCTTACTGGCTGTATGACCCATTTCATTTATGAAATGAGAATAGTAATACTTGCTTTACCTACCCAATGAAGATAGAGAAAGCATCAAATGAAAAAGCTTATGTTGACAAAACATCATGAAAG